CTGGCAGAGCGGTTGCGGAAATATCCAAGCCGGCACCAACGGTTTTGGGTGTCTGACCCGAAGTGTTTCTCCACTCCAGATGCTAACGCTGCACTTATGCCTGGGCTCGGCGAAGGGTAGGGGTAGCGGCGGCTATAGCTGAGGCAACTAGCCGACGCTCGGTGTTCTTCCGCTATTGCGCTATTGCCGATGCAATTCGATCGCTGACGTTCCGTCGCTGTCGCTGTCGTTCCGACGTTGTTGACATTCGGTCGTTGGGTCGCTGGGTCGCTGTGTCGCTGTGTCGCTGGGTCGCTGTTGCTGCATCGCTGTCGTCGTTGGCGTTCGCTGGTTTCATAATTCGGCGGTGTTATTGCAGCCACTTGGAATTATAGCCACTTTAATATTGTTGCTGTTGATGACTGAGTAGGGTGAACGGAATGGGTTCCAGTTTGTGGGTAACCGAGAAGGGTGAATGGTGCGGTGTTCGGTGTCGTAGGGCTCGAGAGGGGTATAGGGAAGGGGGCAGTTGGCTGGTGTTAACTTACATATATTACACATACAACATAAATACAAATAACTCCATAAATTACGTTATTTCTCAAAGGGAGGGAGATGTAGTATGCTCACATATCGGGTACACACTGTACCACTTATATCACTGCAACATTGTGGCATTTATTTAGGTCTTAATATTCCCAGCACTTCAAGTGCGGAGTAATTCGACCCACACACAATGTTATGAACATCCTAAATGCTGAGCCGGCATGTCTGCATGCGCGGCCGTCCATTCGGTTACCGTGTGAGCATAACACCCTCTCCCTCATGCGCGGCTACTACTTGCGCCGTTTATATATACACTTATGCATAAGCATTGACCGCTGCTCTGCAGTGGCACATATACATTTATATAGATTTTTAGATATATAAGCTTTGGCCGCGGCGCTGCTCGCGCAGCTATGTGAATTCTAAGCCAAGCCAATTATTCTTAAGAAAAGCGGGAGCATTGACGAAGAGAGCCCCGAACAAAACGCATGTTATAATTAATTAATTCTTCAATAAAAATAAATATCAAATGCAGAGTTTTGATTTAACATCTTAGTACACCGCCAAGTAAGCTAAGAACTCTGAACTTGTAATCTAGAACCATAAGTTTCTCAAGCCGCACTATAGGTAGGATTCACACAATAAGACCTAAGCTAATACGTTACATTTACTAGCACACCGTCACCATGTCCGAAAACGAGGAGTACGAGTACCGCCCATGGAGCGACTCCACCCGCTCTCCCTCACCACCAGCTGTCACCATCAGCACCGACTCCGTGCTATCGGAGCACGCGGAGCGCATCGCGTCGCCGCCGTTCGACCCGGCCGAGACATCGCCGCCTCCACCTCTTGCCTGCGACGGAGACGCCGACTCCCAGTCCACCATCCTCCGCGACCCTCGTACGAATGCGAGGTGAGCAGTGGATCGAACGGACAACCAAGACAGGAGGAGGAGCCGCCAGCTCAAGATGACGAGCCCGACACCAGGGGGCTGACTACAGTGAGGCTGGCACGGTTAAACGTCGCGGGATCCCTGGCAGTCGGGTACAGCACGGCCTGCTACCTAGTGACCGCTTGGCTGGAGAGCGTGGCGACGCCGGCATTCGCTGAGGGATTTGAGGAAAGATGCGTCCAGGAGAGTCGTGCCTGGGTACCACACCCGGCACCGTCTACAGACGACTCGTCAGTTGGAGAGGATGGCCGCTTCGCGACTGGAGGCCCACCCGTGCCCCTCCAGTGCTCGCTAGCGGAGGCCAACGACGCTTGGGCCGGTTACGCAGCACGGCCTCGCACCCCCACCGCCTCGACCGCCTCACGGGAAGCCAATGCCACCGGAGACTCGTTTATGGGTACTTCGGTGAGTGGATCCCTGAGCGACGACGCCGACGCGGAGGCCGTAGCTGCCGAGCCGCACCAGATGGACGAAGGCGAATAAGGGACGGATCCCACACCGGACTGCCCGACGACGCGGGAAACGCAGCCAGAAGAAGCCGAAGCCACGACCCCCAGTCCCCAGACGACCGCAGCCCAGAACGAGCCACTTCCAGCTACCCCGGGAAGGGGAATCCCCGAAGTTGGAAGCTCGAGAGCTCAAGACCGGTACCCAAAACGGGAGGACAAGCAAACAACGCCACTGCCCGGCTCGCCTGAGAGCCCTCGGACACCGAGTCCTAGGGAAGCCGCCCTAGACGGACTAATCCCGCCCACTCCAGGGAGCAGCAATCCGAGAGTGGAGATGAGCCGCTGGCTCGATCCCCACATCCAGCGAGTAAGTTTAAGATATACATATACATACACATATTGGTAGATAATAAGAAAAACTAGTACTAAGTTAGGATAGGCCACGGAGGCAGGCAAGAAGCCAAAAGAGCCGTTAAGTTCAAAACTTCGGCCGTTAGCCAGTAGTTCAAACAGGCGTTATTTAGTGTGTTAATCGGCCGTTAGCCGGTAGTTCAAACAGGCGTTATTTAGTGTGTTAATTAGGATCTCAGCTGATCAGGCGCTCTACTCAGCGGGTTAGGCGATCTACACACGATCGGATTAGGCGATCTACGCACGTTTCCAGTGTTGAGAAGCGAGAGCCCGGCTGGCTATATAAGCCCGGCGGCTGCCAGTCCCGCTCTCTTTCATTCGCCACAAGTCAAAGACCAAACATCGAAGCAGAGAAGAACCACGCAAGGACACCAAGGACAAGCAGGACATCAAGGATGAGGACGAAGGACCGTAGTGAGTAGAGTGTGAGAGAGATAGAGAGAGACAGGGAAAGAAAATAGTGCGGCTAGGGAAAATATACATATAGAAAAGAGGAAGAAAAGCCCAAAAAGATAACCAAGAAAAATAAAACAAAGCACGGACAATAAGAACAGCGAACATACACCGAGTTGGATTTATTTCTTCCCTGACCTCAAAGCCCTGATCCGCGTGTGCTAAAACAGTGGCCTAAGCCAAGCCGGTTGCGATTTCGAGAAGATTCCTCTGCGCAACTGGACCTTGGTGGCAGTCACGTGCACAGACGTGAAGGCGTGCAAGTACGGGTTTCTTTCCGCTTGCATAGCTTTCCGTTTCGATTCCGGTCGACGCACCCAAAACCCAAGTAACCCAAACCCGACCCGCGTGTGCCAAACTGTGGCCCAAGCCAAGCCGGTTGCGTTTTCGAGAAGATTCCTCTGCGCAACTGGACTTTGGTGGCAACCACGTGAACAGACGTGAAGGCGCGCAAGTACGGGTTTTCTTTCGGCTTGCATAGCTTTCCTTCTCGGTTTCGACCGACGCACTCCCATCCCAAACAGTGGGAGCCTGTCCCAGAACTGGGAGCGCTGACTTCTGTCCATGTTTAGAGACGATTCCTCTGCGTGGGCGTGAAACAGCGCCCCAGGCGGCGGGAGTTGACACAGTGGTACGGGCCAATCCCCCTCCTCCGGCACGCACGTGACGGCTTTCACTCGTTCGCGTCTGGCCAAATCCGATTCCCAAATGCCTGCTCTGACCCGCCAATAAGGCCCGCCGCGCGCATCGCGATTGATCGGCGACTGCGTCCAGGTTGCCCGCCTCTCCTCGTTCCCGCTTATTTACAAATTCGATTTTAAAGGATCCTGGGGAGACTGAGCTCCATCCCAGCCGTAGAAACATTCTTACAAGTTCGCAAATCAGCGATGAACGCAGCTCCAACAAGTGTATTCTTTTCGATAAATTTGATTATGTCAAGTATCTTAGCTATTGTGGCCTGGGTCTCGATGCCATATATGAGAAAATTGGCCAACGATACTAATGCGATGACTACATAGCTTTTGGGCGGCTTACAGAAACCAATGAACGAAATTAAAATACGTAAAAATATTAAGTGGAGCTGGTCAAAAATAAAAAGAGTTGAGTTGCGTATATGTGGACTGTATTAATTTTATTCTTGTCAGTTGCAAAGCCTATTTGACACTGAAATGAATTTCGCAATATGACGCCGTCTTAGCGGCGTTGCCAGAAACTGAAAAGATATTATATACATGTTTTCTTGTACATAGATTAAATATATAGAATAGAATAGAGATGGCATTATGCGCCTATATATTAGAGATGATTAAAGTTGCAAGCGTTCACGAACAGCCCGGCCCGCCCTGAAACACAGTTTCTGAATGGAGCAATACAGCAACTTTCGTGATGGGTCTGATCATCTCTCCTGTCGGTGTCTTCAATTTGATTGCTCGAACGAGGTTGTCCTTCCCTGGATAGGTTTCCATAACCCGAGCGATGTGCCAAGATGCCGGTGGTGTATTGGACTTTTTACGAGCACAACATCACCGGTCGAGATGTTGGGTGTTGAAGTAGTCCATTTTGGACGTTGCTGCAGAGTAGTCAGATACTCCTGATGCCATTTTCTCCAGAATCCTTGAAGCATAGACTGGATGCTTTGCCAATATCCTAATCGGCCCACTGGGATGTGACTCAAATCGGGATCTGGCACTGTTGTTAATGGTCGCCCAATTAAGAAGTGAGCGGGTGATAGGTAGTTGGTTTCCGTATCCGGTGTGTAGCACAAGTGGCATGAATTTATCACTGCGCTTATTTGAGCAAGAAGTGTGCGCATCTGTTCAAGGTGAGCGTTGAGTTTCCGGACACAACGAACTGCCGACTCCCATTTCCCTCCCCAGTGAGGGGCTCTCGGGGGAATAAGTTGTCAATGGGTACAACTGCGATTGGTGCAGTCGTCCGCCTACCCTCAGCAAATCTTTTTCGTCGATTATGGGTGCCAGTTTGATCAGCTGTGATCGGTTCCTTAAGGGTTTTTTTGCTGAGGAGCAATTGGTAATCGTCTTTGAAACAACCTTGTGCTTGTTTTATGCACAGAATCCTTGCCTCCTTAATTTCATCAAATGTGAGAGCGCTAGATTCCCTTTTGCGAGATAGGTTTCGTGTACGTTGAATAAATCGCTTCACGTAGCCGACAATATGAACGAGCTTGATCCAAGAAGACACTCGCTCGGTTAGTTCATCAAGTGGATGAACCGGATTTGCTTCAGCCAGTGTAGCCAAACAGTTGGATTTGACTTCTCCTTGAATGCGTTTGTCTGTAAGAGATAAACCGAAACGTGAGTCGTTTAACTTTACCAGATACTGCACCTTGTCCCGTAGCCATGTTTGAAGATTGTCCAGATCTGCTCTCCACTTTAGCCAGTTGTTCGCCAGTTTAGTTGGGAGTGGGTCATCCCAAACCAAATTCAAGAGCCATAGCTTTTGAAATAGGATTTTGAATTGGATTACAATGGGTGCCAAGAGTCCGAGAGGATCAGATATCCTCGAGACGTCGGACAAGACTTGTCTCTTTGTGCAATCAGGATTTTTAGCTAGACCGACATTGTACGTTAGAATGTCTTTTCCAGGATGCCAGTACAGTCCGAGAACCTTTACTGGTGACGTTTGTGCAGGTTGTGTGTCGCTATCATCCGTTTGTATACATGGTGTATTGGATACCCATTTCCCGAGTTCAAGATTTGCACGAGACATCAGCTGAATCAGCTCGTTTCGGTTCCGAAGTAGCTCATCCTCACTGTTTGACCCAGTAAGAAGGTCATCTACATAGAAATCCTCCAGCAGGATTTTCGTCGCATTTGGGTATTCCTCTTGATGATCTACAGCAAGTTGTTCCAGCACTCGCACAGCCAGGAATGGTGCGCATGAAGTTCCGTAGGTTACAGTGCACAATTGGAAGTGCTTGATGGAATCGATTGATTGATTGGAAGTGCTTCTCTCCAAACGATTTTCTGCAAGTTTCTGTGCTTTTCGTTGACCCATATCTGGCGGAACATTTTTACGATATCCGCTGAGAATGCAAATTTGTACATTCGAAAACGAAGGCACACAGCGAATAGATCGCGCTGGATACTGGGACCTGTAAACAGGGTGTCATTTAAAGCCTTACCATTGGCGTCACGAAAAGATCCATCGAAAACTACTCGTAGCTTCCAACCCAGAACTGGGTGGTGTGGTAGATAAATCTGATTTCCAGTAGCGTTTTCTTCAGGTGGCACCTCTCGCATGTGCTCCAGATTTGTGTATTCCCGCATAAAGTATACGTACTGTGTACGCAGCTGCTCGTTCTGTTTCAGCCGCCGCTCAACCGACTTAAAGCGTTTGAGCCGTCCTTGTAGAGTTTCTTCGAAATCGGGGCTTGCAGTGTTGAATGGAAGATCCACGATATACTTCCCGTTTTCCTCCGGATCCAATTTTGCACTGCTTTGAACGTTTTCCTATTGCCAAAACTTGTGAAGCGTGGCGCCTATGTCTACTGTTGTAGTCAGTGCAATAGCGTTGCTTGGATTTGATGTGATGAGTGAGGTTATTACCCATCCGAACACCGAAGAAATGGCGATAAGATTACCGTTGTTGTCGTACATCTTTCGTCCTGTAAACACCGACCATACGTGTTCGCATCCCAATAGAATGTCAACAGGTGAGTTTGTGTTGAATTCTGTATCCGCCAACTGCAGATCCTTGAATGCCTCGAGTGCCGATGCATCGATGTTTTGGCGTTCCAGCGAAGAAGTAATTCTGCCTAGCACGTGGACGTAGACAACCAAATGATCCTCGGATATACGGGACTTGATATACAAGGTGCTGCATCCCCTTGTCGTGTCTGCTTTCACCGAAGAGATTCCCGTAACCAAGATGCGTGATGCCGAACGTGTCAATCCGAGAGCTTGAATGCAACGCTCGGATACGTACGAAAGCTCTGAACCTGTGTCTAATAAGAGACGGCATGTTACGTGGTCACCTTTTGAGTTTTGAACATAAACCAAGGCAGTTGGTAATATGCTTCGCTTAATTTCCGTTTCCTGTGCAGATTTTGCAGTGCCCTGTGCACATACAACCGATTGAGTGCTCTCTCCTTGGGCGAAATGACTGAGAGTCACCGAAGTGTTGTTGGACGCACCTATGTTTCGCTCGTCCTTCCCTGCTATCTGGGCAAGATTCCCAATAGCCTGTGGATTCGCTTGCACATGTAGAAGGGAGTGATGATTTCCCCTGCATTGCCTACATTTGTATGTCGACTTGCACTTGCTGACCCCATGACCAGGTCGCAAGCAGTTGTAGCACAGTGATTTCTCCTTTACAAAGGATCGCCTCTGCATCCCAGACATATCCAAGAACAGCTGACAGTTATACAGAGTGTGTTCTGTTGAATTACATTTGGTGCAGCCACTGCCTTCGACCGCAGCCATCGATTGTGTGAGCCTTTTTGGTTTTTCTGCATGGGTTGTTGTCTTGCTACCAGTCGCAAGCTCCCTTTTACTCAGTTCCAGTTCCTCGCAACGAGAATCCAGAAATTTGAAATTTGCCCTCAATCCACCTACGCCGCGTGTCGGCGTCCAGTTTCTCCAGGGCCAGATAGATGATCCAGCAATCGCGTCCCATCTGGTTGACTGCATCCAATCCGCGAATAATTTCGTTTGCTCCGTCTGACACCTTCCGTAGAATTGATGCATCTACCTTTTTAGTTGTTGGTAGGCTCATAAACTGCTCCAAAAATGAGTTTACAATGTGCCGTGGATGATTGTACCTTTCCTTCAGACGTTCCAAAGCGGTGTTGGTTTTGTTGTAGCAAATTTACAATTGCGTCGCCGTTGGAGTGCAGACCGTTGCTGCCATTCACAATGCCTGTAGATGTACTCGGTTGTAGAGCATCACTTCTGTCCTTGAGAATTGCGTTCGCCCCTAGGTACTTTTCTTCGTAAATTGCGTTATCAATATCTGGATCGACGTAACCTTCTACATCCTCGTGGAGAGCAATGCAATCGCCGAACTGGTTGAACTCCTTCCAAACTTCTGTGTTGCAGATTCCGCTTGCTCAGCCCATGAGAGACAACGTGTGATGTTGCCCTTGAGTCTGGAACGGCTTTTCACCAATGTTTTTAATTGTTCCATAGCAAACAATTAACCTGACAATCAAACCACTTCACTAACTGTCGAAGAATCCGGAACGAAGGACCAACAATATGGTCAAAAATAAGAAAGAGTTGAGTTGCGTATATGTGGACTGTATTAATTTTATTCTTGTCAGTTGCAAAGCCTATTTGACACTGAAATGAATTTCGCAATATGACGCCGTCTTAGCGGCGTTGCCAGAAACCGAAAAGATATTATATACATGTTTTCTTGTACATAGATTAATTATATAGAATAGAATAGAGATGGCATTATGCGCCTATATATTAGAGATGATTAAAGCTGCAAGCGTTCACGAACAGGAGCTATGTATTCGTTTTTTGCCTTTGAATCAAAATTCTCTTTTTGACTCAATTGTTCCGATGTATTCTCGAATTCACGAATTCCTCTGTCATTCCCACCATTCGGCAAGGAATGACGGAAAGGAAGAAACAGAAGGACTGTTCTTGCAAGTCACACATACATGCGCACTAAAATAGCCATTCCTCTTAAATGTAAGTATAGAATTCACTAATTATAGGTCTCGGTTTTACCTCGTCGGCAATGTAATGACCCACAAAATGGATATGTCTTAGCAATAAAAACACGTTTATAATTCAAACTTAATTCACTCTGTATTCCGAGACCACACACTGTTGGTCTGCTAGCCTCGTTGTCTGCGTTGCCACCTTCGCTTCCGCTGCTGTAGGGTTCGCTATTTGCAGCGGGTTGCCACAGTCAGATCATATGACCGTTTCTTGAAGCCAGTTATTTCAGTTATTTCTAAATAACAAGAAAGGAAAGCTAACTTCGGGGGGAGCCGATGTTGATATACCCTTTCAGAATACTATGTAAATTATATTCTCCAAAATTATTCATATGATGCATTCTTAATACTCATAAAAAATCCCAACTTCCTAACTTTAAAAAAACCAAAGTTATGGCATTTTCAATCGTTCAGTTATATGGCAGCTATGGGATATAGTCCGCCGATCCTTATGAAATTTGGTAGGTCGGATTGATTGGCCAAAAATAAAACCCATTGAAAATCCCAACTTCCTAACTTTAAAAACACCAAAGTTATGTCATTTCCGATCGTTCAATTATATGGCAGCTATAGGATATAGTCGTCCGATCCCGGCCGTTCAGACTTATATACTACGTGCAAAGGAAAGAAGGGTGTGTGCAAAGTTTCAATTCGATATCTCTAAAACTGAGAGACTAGTTTGCGTAGAAACAGACAGATGGACAGACAGACGGACAGACAGACGGACAGACATACGGACAGACAGACGGACAGACAGACGGACAGACAGACGGACAGACAGACGGACAGACAGACGGACAGACAGACGGACAGACAGACGGACAGACAGACGGACAGACAGACGGACAAGAGAGACAACGGACGGACAGACGACGGACAGACAGACGGACAGACAGACGGACAGACAGACGGACAGACAGACGGACAGACGGACATGCTTATATCAACTCAGGAGGTGATCCTGATCAAGAATATATATACTTTATAGAGTCGGAGATGTCTCCTTCACTGCGTTGCACACTTTTGACCAAAATTATAATACCCTCTGCAAGGGTATAAAGATAATCATGATTATGTCTAATATAAGAATTAAGTATGATAATGATGAAAATACACCCTCAATTACTTTGATTAAATTGTTTTGCAAATATATTGCAAAGCTTCGATAAAAAATAGATGTATCTACTCTAGCCCATGTGCCTAGGAATTGGTTATTTTAAATTGAAGTTTCCAACGAGTCATTTATTGCGATTGAATCTAATAAGCTACAGCTTCACGTTGTCACAGCTTGCGTTCTATTATGGCATTATACGCCTCTTTCGATTTCTTGCCTCGCTAACTTTTAAAAGAGTTAGAGCTTTTATCTTTGTGCGAATTGGTGAAATTTCTCAGTCGCACGGATCGCAACGTCGCTGCCAGTGTGAATTTTCATCGTCATATTATTTTTGTCAGCCTGATTCTGAGCATGATTCTGTTACCTTTTGAACTCTCTTAATTTGCAGCCTATAAGACACATTTATATTAAAACTATTAGCACCAACCCCCTCTTTCGGGATGGCCGGACACATACCTCAATCCAATATTCCCTGACTGATTTTAAATTTCGATAGTATATTCTAAGGAAGATGGATACATTCGCTTTGCCTGATCAAAATAAAATAGTAACCGCAACACCTCATATGGATTTTACGACCGCACTACCGGACGATACGACTAATGCAGATCTAATTCTAAAGTACCAAAAATGCATTTGTTAACATTTGTTATATTTGTTCCGCGACTCGGTTCTGAGTTTTCATCGCTGGATATAACGGCATATATCCAATACAAAATCCAAGGTGAAACAATTTTAAGTTTCTCTGTCAAGGAAAGTAAGATTGGTATTCCTTGAATAAAAAGAACGATGCTAAAACACCCTTAATATAATCGGTTTGACATCTACCAGTATAAATTTAAAAACACGTGCTAACAGGCACGGAAATCCTCAAAGATTGGTTTTGAATCTGAGTGTTACGTTTACAAGACCGTCAACCACTCAGATGTATTTGTATAATTGGTATTAAAAGCTCATAGTCATTGCGGTCGATGCGGCCTTTGTTTGTGTCCACAAAGCCTAATCAGAATGGTATTTTTTGTGAATATTTGTGGTGTCGGCGCGCTAAAGTTAGACCCTTTTAAATTATTAATGATTATAAAAGAAATAAATTTTACCAAATTTTGGATCTGCTTTGCGAAAATATAATCATTTTTTGCACAAAAATATAAAATCCGAAACTTTGGATGCTGGAGAAATCGTGACTAAGTCACTTTTTTTAAAGTTTTTAAGTGGCATTTACTGATTTCACTAAATAAATGATCTTTTATTTTTTAATTCATATTTTACCAAACTGTTTGGAGGGGTTGGATTAATTAGAAATAAGTAGCATTTGTTTCTCTGCGTATAGCCGCAGGAATCGGTGACACTTCGTTAGCGGATGGATCCTCTGTTAGACCCTGCAGAGATAGGATAAAATACCTGTGGTAAGTAAGCTCTCCATGAAAAGGTATGGAACCGAATGGGGAAGATAACAGGAGGGACTTCTTTAAGGTGGTAAATTTATTTGCTTTCAAATTTCCGAAGAAAAGAACAACATTTTTTTTTGGATTCAGTCCAATCGAAAGAAATTTTCGATGTACGCAGAGTATAGTATGCCAAAATGGCTCAAATTATAATGTCGGATACAATTAATAGCCTTATAGCCGCAACCATCCACATTCTTTAGGCCGATCTGCCTGATCGACAGCTGGCAAAGCATTGGAACGATCCATTGACAAGAAACTACAAAAGGCCCAAAACAGTAATAAATATACCAAAAACCATCGATTCACTCCCGACATTGGTTTTGAGTCCTAAACCACCTAGCAGCCATTATTAAGGACTTCCTTACAGATCGTGTGTTGCTATATAACACAGAAAAAGCGGCACCGTGGAACACCAGAACACATGCAGAGTTTCCCCAGTTAAGGTACTTGGTCCTTATTTAGACCGTCCGAGTATTTAGTCCACTGTTAATAGTTTTGAATACCACTGTTAAATACCACTGTTAATAATATTGATAACCAGAAGACTCTGCAAATTCAGAATATTTTTTGCAGTTCGCAAATCAGCAAGAGTATTCTTTTCGAAAAATTTGATTATGTCAAGTATCTTAGCTGGGTCTGGCCTGGGTCTCGATGCCATATATGAGAAAATTGGCCAACGATAGTACTGCGATGACTGCATAGCTTTTGGGCGGCTTACAGAAACCAATGAACGAAATTAAAATACGTTTTTGCTTGTGGTACCTTAAGCATGGTTCAAAAATAACTGACTACTGTTAATTAATTTACCATCCCTAGTCTACCGTAGAACGAAGCTTGGTACTGTCATCTTTTATAACCTTATTAATGGTAAGATTGACAGCCCCGGCTTGGTAAGTCGACTAATCTTTTCTGTGTCAAGTAGATTAACTAGAAAATATATCCCCTAATATTAAATCATTGTAGATCTAACTATGCCTTGAATGAGCCTTTAAGAGTATTGTTAAGTCGTTTCGCGGTATTAGATAAACATTAAATTAAATCATGAAATAAATAAAATTGTAAGCAATGAAGTAAAACGAATGTAAACACATAATGTTAAGATCAGAA